AGGGGTTGAACACAATGCCTGATTTTGGAGAGGGGTTGAACACAATGTCTGATATTGAGCAGGAGTTTTGTGGATGGTACAATATTGATGAGTGTTTGTTGTGTTATGAACTGAAAGATTGACTGGGTGTTCTGATTTTTTGATCTACCAGGTGAAGTGGAGCCCTGCACAGTTGATTGCTGATTCTTTTTTATTTGGAGATTTTATGGATTTGTATGTCCCAAGCAGCAACAGAATCTACAAACAGATTAGAAATATGAAAAAACTGGAAAATGTACTTGCGGATTACCACTTCAGGCACAGCTCAACAAATATGAAAGTAAGAGACAGGATATCCATCAGACAGACAGTAACAAATGCCACAACCCACACAGCACCACATCCACTGAGACACCATGAGAAAACCAGGACAGGGTTGGTGCTGAGGATGATACTAATGAGGAGCTGCTCCAGCTCAGTTTACCTGAAAGATTCTATCTTCACAAACTTTCCCCTTGTGTTAGGCATGAAGACCCTCATGTTAAACCACTAGCAGCCACCTCTCCTGCTAATGAGAGAGCAGCTCTGTGGGCATTTGGCACGATGGCACATTTACTTTAGGGGGCCTGCTAACTGTGTTGCAGGAATGCTGGTTCCAATATAGTATAACACCAACAGCAGCGGTTCAATTCCTGCACTTGCAGAGTTCACCTCAAAGATTCCAGCTTCCCAAATTTGTGCCCCAACAGAGGTGTAGAGACCCAGAGGTTTAATCAACTACCAGCCATCTCCCTTGAATGAGAAAGCAGCCCCAGGAGCTGATGAATCTATGCTGCTGAAGAGAGCAATGCGACAAGTGTGCAAGCTAATAAGGTGAATGATTGTCATGATGCTAATAGGAACGAGGATGGTGGTGATGATGGAGACTAATAGGATGCGGAAAACGGCGGTCAGGATGGTGATGATGAGGAAGAGAGTGATAATGATGGGGACAGTGAGAGTGATGGGAACAGTGAGAGTGATGGGAACAGTGAGAGTGATGGGGACAGTGAGAGTGATGTGGACAGTGAGAGTGATG